TACAATGTCATCTGCATATTCTAGGTCTAACAAACATTCTCCTATGATTAGGTGAACCTCTGTGTAGTCAGGTGACGAGAGGGAGATCTCCATAAGAATACCTATGATGAAATTAAATAAGAATGGAGACAGAGGGAAGCCTTGACGGACACCATCTGACGAGTACAGCTCCTCGGACATCTCACCATAGGCTGTAACACATCCACAAGTGCTCAAGTAGAGAGCCTTCAATAAGTTGATGTACTTACTCGGCACGCCTTTCAGTGAGAGACATTGCCATAAGACTTCTCGACCAACGGAGTCGAATACCGCCTTCAGGTAGGGAAATACAGCTAGTGTTGAGCGTCGGTAAGCGTGCCTATGTTCCAGAACCTGGCGCAGTGTGAATATTTGGTCGATACACCAGCGTTCGGGGTCTAAAGCCTGTTTGGTTTTCTCGGGCTTGTTGCTCACGAACTCCACTCAGGCGTCGAAGTATTATAAAACCTAGAATCTTAGACACTGTTCGTCAGGCTGATTCTTCTGTGGTTATCACAAGAGGACTTCTCGCCTTTCTTGAGGACTGGGATAATCAGTGATTCTGACCAGTCGGAGGGGATTTTATTTGATTCCCATATACTAGCACCTTACCACCATCCTTGTATACCTCAGAAGTTAGTCCGTTTGATCATGTCGCCCTTCCTCGTTTCAGGTTACCTACCGCTATCTCGACTTCTCTTAGTGTTGGGAAGCTAATCTCAATGTTCCATTCAGGCAACGAAATGGTAGCTGGAGGTCAGTTAAACTGTTCCTCCTTCCAGTCGTCTCCTATGCAAGGGAATCGCAGACCCGTCCTTCTCCTCTATAGCCTCTATAGTTGACCTTTCCCCCCCAGTTTCCTTATTAAGTCTAAATAACTGTCTACTGTTACCAATCGCCGCTGCCTTTTCCATCTCTTTAGCCTTCGCTGCCCACCACTTCGCGGTCGTTGCATAGACTTTTCTCAATCAACTTTTAGTTGCGCTCGCTAGTCATTGTACTCAGAGCTTGCAGGAATGCGTTCACGTGCATCCATAAGTTCGGAGGATGCTGCCGATATCCACTGACTCTTTCTAGCCACTCTTTTGGAGTCAGCTACGGTCTTTAGAGCTGCTTTCACAGCAGACTGGATATGGTAGAACTCGTACTTCACTGCCTCCAACCTGTAACCAGTGGGTGCGAATGCAGAGATTACAAAGAGACAACAGCGAGTCTCCCCATTCCTTTTAGTTCTCACTGTGCCGTTCAGTCGGATAGTACAGAGGCGACTATCAACTAGGATCCAGTCTAGTAGTCAGCTTTTTGCCCTAGTGCTTAATGTTATACCTACACCTGCAAGACTGCGAGAACTAGCTGTAGCTATCGAATCTCCAGAAACTCGAAGGGTGAATTTCGCAGACTCATCAGATTGGGCGGGAGAGGTTAGGTGAATAACCACACTTGAGTCCTGTATACGAGTCTCACAAACACGGCACACATCCATGCGCCGAGTTTCTAGAGTCTTTGCTAACGAAGCCTGTTGACCAATTTGACAGAGAGTGCGGACATTGAAGGCTTTAATATGTAATTGGGAGCGTGGTTTAAGGGGACTAAGGATGCTGTTCTGTGGACTCAGATCGTTATCAAAGGCTACAGAGCTAGGAGAAATTGGAGATGATGTAGTATCGTTAGTTGAGAGACGTGAAGGAAGATTCGACGGTAATGATGGAGGAGGTGGATAGCAGTCTGAGGAAACTTGAATGCTGATAGAGTTGTGAGGGCGGTTGACACTTCGCGGTTGCCCACACCGTGGAAGGCTATTTCTTCTTAAGGTACCTGAAAGAGATTTGTGTGAGCGCGGAGCCCATTGGACATCTGCTTGAGGCCCGTCACACATAGCCTTTTGTGTATGCTTGTTTTGGGGCCGGATGATCGAAATGAAATGACAAATGAACCAACACTGCCGGTCCGGCAGACCGTAGGGTATGGTGGAATGTTATTTTTGGTGCCGACCCTTTCTAACCCACCCCCCTTCCACTGAGAAGGCAGGCAGCATCAGCATGGCACTGTAGGTCATCCAAGGGAAACACCTTACTGCTGTCATGCCTCATACAGCTAGCAGCAGTACGACTTCACCCCCAGAGCCCCCCCCATCATAGTGTAGTAATTTACACTACAACGGAAACTGCTTTTCGTCTAACCACTATCCAACAGACCTTGAGGGAATAAGTGTTCCACCAGCATAGCCTGTTGGGTCATTGTGATATACAAGCCCGACCACCACATCAAAGTAGCAGCTATTGGTCATAAGTTGTTGGACTAATGTGCAAAACATATGCACGTCTTAAACAACTAATTTTGTTCACACTAAGCTATCGAATGAAAATGTTTATTGGCCTTTACAGCAGCTGCGTTACTCCTCCAAACAAACCAAGCTACGATCTACAAAAAGTACCTTTAAATAGACAATCACTACCTGCAAAGCTATAAGCAGGTAAACTATAAACACCTTTGCGACTACTAATAGAGTATAACCGAACAAAAGAACTGAGCCTCAAGACCTAGAGGCGAAAGCTCAGAAAGTACACGTTTATCTGGTCGCACTATTGATGTTGAATGTCAATCCTTTAATGTGGTACTTGTGCAGGTTTCTGGTATGACTATTTATTCTGAGCTGGTAGTAACTGTTTGTTACCATGGTTCACCTGACGAACGATCGAACACACAGTTATTCCGCTACCTACTCATTAGCGTGACACTTCCATACGTTTTTGATCATAAGTTCAGTGTGGGTGAATTTTTACACTCAACTAGTCATTATTGGTCTTTATTATTATTATTTAGTTACGATATTCAAGCTGCAGATGTCAAGAAGTGAATACATCTGCACTACTGTGACCAATTTACGACCATGTTACCAAGAGTCATCACAACCATTGAGTCCTTTCGTCTCAGGGAACCCAACCATGCAGTCTACATCTCCCAACGCAGCTGAGAACAACTCCCACATATTGGCTTGGTCAATATGAACCCTCTTCCAACCTAATCCAGCTTCACCCAGCATGGCATGTTGAGATAGGTGATTTCTCGGCACGTGCAGTACACGTCCAGGCCGTCTCAGTCGAATAAAGTGGACAACTTCATCGACCGACTTACTTATCGTGCGCAGAATCCTCCGCCTGACGTCAATATTGTTCACACGGTGATAAAACCAAACGCGATCAACGCTGTGAAGAAACGTGTGAACAAAACCCTGTAACCACATCATACCTTCTAATTTAAACGGCCAGGTTTCTTAGATGTATAACAGGGCAGAAGTGCAATACACACACACTGTGGAAGCTAGTCAAGTATCTCGCAAGTCGGCACTACAGGTGAGGCAGAAGGGTGAATGCGAAGAGGGACCTCAGCATTCAAGACGAGTTATCGACAGATCAGGTGCCTGCAAATCTCCATGTGAGTAATGATTTCAATTCCAACTGCTTAAAAAGTAACATCTATTTGAATTCATTCGAAACCCAAAAATATTGACTGTTTGCATATTGAAATAACTTTATATAATGCTTTATATTTTTTGACCACTCATTAAATTTCACCCAAAACTCATGCATATATGAAAGCACAGTTTTCCGCAGAAAAAGAAGTGGGAAAAAAATCATTAGCTCAAATTCATCATCTCATACTAAAAATCGCATTGTCCATATCGATGTCATTGCACAACTAACACACTAAACTGATTACTATTCAACCTGATTTAAGCTTACACCCACTGATTTACCACCAACAACATTGACCGCATTGAAATAATTTCACGTTGTATATAGTGGTTTACCTACTGTCATGGTTTTCTATGTGTAGGATCTGAAGGTGAAGTTGTTTAAAAGAATTGTTCGCTGAAGTTATTATCCTTGGCAACGGAAGTTATAGAAAAAGACCATGTCACTGTGAGTCAACGGGTTTCCATTCCCTCTGAATTCGATGCGCTTTAAGCAATGTGGGGTCACGTATATTATGGGTCGAATAGGAGTACAAAAGTCACAAGCGAAAAATTGTTTCTAGTTTACTTCAAATTTGAAGATATTACATCTGCGTTTAGACAGAAATAGCAACAAAAAAAAATCAAGGAAAATGAACACGAGAACAGTTGGCGACACCGGTGAAGACTGTCAGTCAATTAGGGAGTAAGGATTTTTGGGAGCCGTGGATGCCAATAAGTTCACTTGAATAAATGAACTTTTGAGATAACATTTACTGTGATAAATACTTGACAAAATAAGTAACCTGGTCAAATGATCGATTCACGTACACTCTTTGTTGCATCAGAAGCGTAGAGTGCGCTGTCTCATGAGCTTTCTACGCTGAATGGAGTCTAAAAGGAATACTCATTCTCACTTTCCATCGAACCTTATCATGTATATAGTGAGCTTCTTTTTTTCTATTTCTTAATTGATATTGATCTCCTCTCAGAATCGTTTTTTTCCACTCTGAGAAAGTAGATAATAGAGGTCAGGTTTCTGAAGAATTTGATACAATATGGCAACTTCCAACAATGAATAGCAAATGAAGAATGTTTAGAACATCGTTCTGACTTGCAAATGCACACAGAAACATGCAAAAATGCTTATTTTTATTTTTCTGCGTGATGAATATAAGAGTAGTAAAAGTGTGCAGTGGTCTTCATAACTATTATTATTATTATTATCATTGCTGTTTGGACTGATAAAATACAAAAAAATACAACTAAATAAATTAATTAATAAATAAATAAAACATTGGAAGATGCATCTGGAGCATAGTTACACAGGGAACTTGTCATCCTGTATCCTGTTAACCGACCATGCCTTATTCAAACAGATAGGCGAAATGCACGAAAAACAATATATACAAAATGAAGCGGTGGTTAGACTTGTCGTGAAGATTAATTCTATACAATTAAAGTTGAGAAGCAGTGTTACTATCAAAGTTTATCCCTTTCTCTTTCATGGCACGTTCACGTAAGGTAATCAAAAGGTTGTGAATTTGCACACGTTTCTCAGCAACAGTAGCCTCTGGAAACCATCCAGCCATTTCGTGTTGAAAATAATCTTTTGTATAACTTTTAACAGGTTTCTAAAAAATATAGTGAAAATGATAAGAGATGAAAAGAAATATGCATAACGATATTAATATACTCATTTACAACAACTCTATATACAGGTCAAAAGTAAAGTTAACTTAGACTATGGTTTATCTTCTAGTTCAGTGAACATAAGTGTATCAAGACCTGGTTAGTCAGTTAGTATTTATCACAACAGGGATGGGAAAAGTTATTCGGTCAGGCGACAACGACTAACAACTTCGTTCTAATAATAAGATGAAATACATAAACCTAAGGTGAAGCGCATTTGTATGTCCAAATCACAAAGATATAGTTCCAGAGAGTGCCTTGTTTAAGTAGAATACCATATTAAATTGCTGTCATGAAATATGTATGTGCACAACGAATGTATACGGCTTATTTCAACAGTAAAGTACGTATTAATTAATTCAAGAAAATCACTTGAAATTGCTTACATATTGAGTGGGAAATGTAAACATACTTAACAACTAGCGATACCACTTAGAACTCGACACTAAAATGGATGAGTACTCGAAATGTGTGCATTTAGCAAATTAGATAACATCGATGTTTACATTACTATACGTTTGTACGACGATGCACAAAAAGTGAAATCATCCTTGATATTAATTACAGCATGTTAATGGAGAAAAAAACGTAGTTTGTAAATTGAAATTTTGAGTATCACCTATGTATGAACAACATATGATTTGGTTGCAAGCAAGGAATTGCTTGGTGAAACACTATGCATTTTCAAAAAAAGTGACCTATATTCGGTCTCTAAATTAAAGATGAATTACGTGGAACTTAACGAAACTAAAAATCGAACACTTAGTTGTTATTAAACAACTATGCCTGGAAATAAATAAAATCATCAGCAACAGTAATATCTAATTACCTTGAAAAACATTTCCACATAGTGGAGTAAATAGATTCCGCAATCCACAAAATTGCTTTGAATAGGCACTCGTGGACTAAAACCTCGAATTGTATCCTTATCAAACCGGAGAATGCCATCTTGTGCTGATCTGCGTGTGTTCCATTCTGCCTGTAAGTAGCTAAAACAAAAAAAAACAGTAGGAAATAACTGAACAAGTGATCTATTTACAGTCATTTACAGCATAAATAGTGTCTATATTTAGTCAAATCAGTAGACCATGTAGTATAGATTATTCTCCTACAATGTTCTAATTCACAAGATGCCTGAAATATGCTTTCATGCCATGCGACATTCTAGACGATGTTGACAGAGAACTGTGACTCTTATGGAAAAATCATATTTCCTCTAGTTCAGGTTCATAATCAGTATCAATGGAAAACAACCAACTATACGTTGGTAACGTTTCGAGCATGAACTATTGCTCATAATCATATCAATGTCACCAGAAAGATGGCTCCTGGAACACAGGTCTACTTATCAGCCAATGACCGATACTTGCCATAATTATTGATCTGTGGGGGGGTATTCTATTCTCCTAGGCTTGAGGTATTGTGGCAGTGTCCGACTGTGAAAGGAGTACCAAGCATGTACGTAACCCTAACCAATGCTCTCTACTCGTTTAACAGACTATGGAAAGTTGCGATCCGAATTGACGACACTTAGTGGGGTCCAGTAGGAATATCCATTATAACTGTTTCTCTTCAAATTCGTCACAGATATGCTAATGGATATAACTTTAGGTACCTGACGCTTCACACGGATTGACCTACTCCCTGGAGGTCATCTGGTTGACTTGCAATATGCGGATGTTGTCCTGCTGGGTGAAAACGCTGACAAAATACAGGGTCTTGTGTACACCTTGAAAGGAAATCTGAGTATGTTTGACGTGTTTCGCTGACACCCATCAAATGTAAGATGATGTTCCAGGACTGGTCTGCTGTAAGAACTCCCGGTTTAATGATAGGGAGTGAAGTGGTGCACTGTGCCAACCACTTCACTTACTTGAAGAGTCGTGTCAGCGCGAACAGGCTGGTTGCTGTGAAATCTCAGCTCTCAGATACAGAAGATTCATTTAGGATTTACCAACTTGCGCCATCCTGACCACCAACTGGTGTAATATCCAAGTATCTATCAAAGGACGAGTATACTACACTGCAGCCCTTTTTGTCCTGTTGTACGGCTATGAGATATGGCCGTTAAACGTAGAAGATATGAAGCGGTTACAGGGCCTTGATCGCAGTTGTCTTCCTAGCATCGCTCGCGTTTGGTGGAATAACCGTGTGAAGAATGTTGAGGTCAGACGAATGGTACTAGGCTAGACAGACAAGTCAACAGGTGTGATTGTGAACCTTCATCAGCCAAGATGGCCTGGACAAATGTTGCACATAGCCAGTGAACGCCTACCTCGAAGTGCTATGCTAATGGAAGCTGGATTAGGTTGGAAAAGGTTTCAGGTTGCCAGACCCGGACCTGGCACCAGTCCATGGAGTCCCTCTGATAGCTGGTCTGAGCCATGTGGGGAAATACAGACTGTCTGGGGTCCCTGAGACGAAAGGAATCAGTAGTTGTGATGAATCCACGTGACATGGCTGTAAATCGTTCACAATGGAGCAGATATTTTCACTCTCTAACACTCTCTTAAGCTTGAATATCTGCACTGTCATCTTCAGATTGTTTATTCTCTCATACAACTTTGTCCTTGATATCACTCTTTTTCTATCCACCTGCTTTTTGTGTACTGCTGTGAAATGTGGCGACTTGAGCCAATGCACTTGTGCACGAGGTTCTACGTCGATTTTGTCTGTCTGCCTGGAAGCCCGAAAGATCACGTTGATTGGTTCAGAGTCGACAATAGGAGCGTAAAGATAGTCCAGAAATATTTTGAGACACCTAGAGACCGAGTTTATGATATACTGTCGATGACGTGAGAACTAAGTGATACTTCGATTTGATAAGAAAAGGGAAGACCGTGTAAATAATAGTGAGTTTTCGTAGATGAAATGCTAAGAACTCTGAAGAAAAAGTGACAACCGATGAGGTGATTTCAGATGCAATCAAGTTTTATCACTGACAAAACAACATTATGATTGAGAATTGATAGAAATCCAAACAGAAATAACTTACTTCCGAATGACATGCAAATTGCCAACTCGACTATGAGAAGGAAGCGAATCAATAGTAGAACGCAGGGCCTATGAAGAGTAGAGAAACACACTAGGAATGACAGAATAATAACTGTAAAACTATTCATCATATCACTAGCTTATAATAGGAAATCAAACAGCAAAGATATGATGTGTGATAAACTAACGACTACAAAATCCCTTAAAGAAAGAAATTAATTGTTATGAGATGAAACCAGTACCTTGGGTTCAAATCAAAAAGCAGTTTAATATAAGTGGTTTCTAATGATTTGTTTGCCTGGAAGTAAGGAGTGAATGTTTAATTTGCATAATCTATATTTTAAGTTTAATAGGAAGCTACCAACTGTTCATATGAAATAGTAAACTTATGACTACTTCATCAGAATAGTCGAGGATTTGTTAACAACCTAAAACCTGACATATAAATAGATATATACAATTCATTTTATATTTAGCTTACATGGCATTGACACCACGTTTGCGAAGCCAGGCCAACCGTCTCCGCCGCCACCGATCAAATGCATCACCCTACAAAAAATGAAGCGAATACACGTGATTAATGAAATAATTCCTATTTTCACAGAAAGTATCTTAAAAATTACAGACAGTCTTCGAACTTGAAAGTTCAGACTTTATGAAATCAGATCACAAGCATGGTGTATGATACTGAAATGCATCATGTAATAACAAATACGAACGTTTTATACATGAGACAGCTGAGGAGTAGAGCCCAACGGCGAAAACGACTACAATAACTCAATAAAGGATACACCTGAAATGTGATTTAGAAATATAAGGAAAGCTACTGATTTTAACTTTTATTTTAATATGATACATTGAAAGCAAGGCTACTACATATGATTCCATAACAATATTATAAAACAGGTATTAGGCAAAGACTTCTTTAGAATACATGGAACTATTAACTAAATTGTAAACTAATAAGCATGGAGCCTTGTACAGATGTGCATCACTTCAAGTTCACATGGTTCAAAACTTGGATGACAAACAGTGAATAAATCTGCAGCATTATAACCGACTCCTTCTAATATTATCTGGAGTCTCAATTGTTAAGTAGGCTTAATTCTACAAGTCTAAATATCTCTAGACAGCTTAGATTATCAGTCATACTCATTACGGATAGGTGCTGTTGAATTCTGTTCAACCAAATCCTACTTCATCTAACACTGTACATGTCAAGGAAGTGGCAAGTGTAACACAAGTCCCAATCACCTTATCTAGTGAAGAATCCTAAATGGCATCGACTGGCTTACTTTTCTTGTCCAGCACTTGATATACCTAAAATCCTAACATCGATGACTGAGTGGTTCCAACATAAATGAATAATAGGTATGAAAACATCTATAAAATGCACTGTTCGATCAGAAGGGCCAGTTTAACCGGAAAAATACTGAATAGTTATTCATGCCAATATCTTAAGCTTTTAAAGGTTTCACTGAAACACGTTTTTTTATGTTTGTCTTTCATGAATATCATAACAATAACTAGCAATCAGTTTATAATGAATACTGACTTTAAAATCATAAATTCGAAAGTTTTAGATACAATTTGATGAACACTAAAAAAACTTCAATTTATTACTTACTGGAGCGTCAGTAGGCAACCTTTGAATAACTTCTTCATCAATATTTGATAAAAATACATCTTCTGAGAATTTAGTACGATCAACATCACTAAATTGTTTTGTTAACTGGCAGAGGTGATAAACTTCTTGGCGATAAAGGGCTGTATAACTGACCATTCCCGCCATCCAAGGATAACATACAAGACCGAGAAACCAGTGTGCACTGAAACAGTTTTAATAATTCGAACTAATGAATATGTACATACATAATTATATGCTTACGAAAGGTAAACAATCAGAATACTGGAGTGAATCGAATCAATTATCACTGTACGGTAAATAAGCTTGGAAACTAATCAACCGAGCCAAAAAATGAATGTTCTTGGGGATGCTTTCAGCTGATTAAAAGGAAATCGAAGCCCATAACAACTGTTCAATACTAATTTTTTTAGTTTTTAACTGATTTATATATTGTTTAAGGATTACCTGACTGACAACACTTTTTCATCCAAATTAATAGACACACAAATATGATAAGAAATTTTGCCGAAATATGCAGTAGGGAACAGTTGGAATGTATCACTTTATTTTGCGTTACTCATATTTTATGGACACTGAGTCTCCAAAGTATCACCGAATTACACACCTTGAGTTGTTGACTGAATGTGACAGAAATGCAAATATGTCTGCTAGGGGGGCAAAGACAACCATTTACTTTTTATTATACAATACATTTCCATACTTATTATAAGGGAATGTCGATACTATTCTCTACTGTTTATGCAACAAAAGTTTCGAGGTACTAAATAATGCAATAAAAGCATCCAATTTACAATAAAAAGTATTAACAAAGAATCAACATGATAAATGCGGTTATCAGAGAAAATTAAGAGCTGTATACTACAGTTTATCATTTGACTGCGTTAACTGTCACAATGAGATTGCTAATCAGATAAATTTCCGAGTTACTAAAACGCAGCGATTAAGTCGTTCTCACAATCACTTCTTTCTGTCCAGCACTTACTTCAAGTATAAGGAGAGAGAAATTGTCTTACGTGGTCTACCGACATCAAACTAACGGTAGACGCATATGTATCATATCGTTATCAGCCTTCGTCGGAGATGATCTGTGGCACATTTCCTCTTTCTGGAGAACCCGTTTTGACCCCGACAATGCATTAGTACGGGCACATGTATGTTTGTGCCTTGCTGGTCACAGACAGCAGGGTTTGTCAAGTGTGTATTACGGGTGATAGCTAGGCATTTACCTAAACAAAGCGAGCAGTTTTCCCATCTGACGAAGCCAAGCGTGATATTTAGCTTGGTATAGAAACAGTAATAATGACAGTTAACAACATACATCCCCAAGGGTAACGAAACCCAGTGGATTTCTGAACTCGAAGTGATCAATATGCGAAAACTTATTCCAGTTAGCTATGACCACAATGATAAATGAAGGCAAAAGTTAACTGACCAAGACTATTCCTAGTAAGCGAGGGCAGTGATAGGTCGTGAAGGCAATGGAAATGGATAAGGTATTACCCTTCAAAAAAAAACTTGGCTTATTAAGGATACAGGCAAGACGAAAATGGCCAGTGGGATCATCACTGAAAAGGATGGGTTAAGATAGACGGCTGGAACGGTGAAGATCAGCGAGACCTGATGGTTTTCCACCTTAACAAGACAACCAAGGTAATAGGTAGTGTGCGGGGATCACAAGTAGTCCTGTCAGACTAATCTGGATCGCTGATCATTCGATTCTGTAAGAAAGGAGAGAAGTCTTTTCAAGACAGTCTCAGGTGAATCATTTTGACTAGCATGGTATTCAAGACCCTGCCGTTCATACTTATTCGACGCCTAACTGAAGCTTGACCTGGATGAGGGTGGATCGATCAGATCATCAGTCTTCAATGTATTCTACAATACAGACACACTTGCTGACGGTTGACATATGCCTTTTTGTCCTGAAGGGACCGTTAGACTGTGTCGATCGAGATAAGTTTTGGTAGTGTCCGGTCACGGTGGAAGTAAACAGCAAGCATATAATGCACACTAAAATATTCGGCAACTCAACTCATTACACGTATATTTACTAGTTCAGGAGCCGTACATTGTTACGGCTTATCATGCTACCCAATTGTGGAGCCCAAAGTAGCAGGAGTGGGTTTAGAACCCCTAATCGATTACTTGAAAGTCAAGTTAATAAGCCACATTTATACATGCTAATTAAAGTTGTTTACCCAAACTCATACAGTCGTGCAAGTGTTTTTGCAGACTTGAAGTCTGAAGTATCGAAAACCAGCGGTGTCCACCAGTGATATCCACTGCCACCATTTCCCTTCAGCTTTCTTATACACGTTCTGATGGATATAAACTTAGGTACTTCCAACTTCTCGAGAATTGAATGACTTAAAGTACACAGACCACATAATTCTGTTAGGCGGGTACGCTGAAAAACTGCGGAATCTCCTAAACGCTTTGAGCAGCGATCTGAGTATCTTAGCATGCGTTTTGTACTTGCTAAATGTAGAGTGATGCTCCAGGTCTAGTTTACACCGACTCCTAATATAAAGATAAGTGAAGAGGTTGTGTACGTTGACAACCTTACTTGGGAAGTTGCATCATCCGGAATGGAGCAGTTCTTGATAATCTCAGTTGAGAGGCCGAAGACCAGTCTGACACCTGCCAACTTACGCCACTTCGTGTTGGCGAAATGTTCTACACTACAGTCGCTCACTCTTTATCACAGAGCTGTGAGACAGATGTTGAAAGTAAACTTTAAGAGGTTACAGGTATCTTTGTGGCGTTGTAACGTGGGACGGAATCATATCGTAAACAATGGCGGGGTTAGGCACAGGGTACTCGGCTACGAAGACAAGTCAACCCATTAAGTTGCGAACACTCAAGGACTACAGTGACCTAGAAACATGTTGCGCTGATGGAGGATTTGATTGGAAGAAGGTTAAGGGTGATCAGGTGAAGGTGTGGCACCAGATCATGAAGCCTTTGACTGTTGGTGTGAGCTGTGTAGGCTGCCTGGTTCCACTCCACTCTTCGATATAATAAGAATCAACAGCTGGAGACTCCTGGTGATTTGGCCTAAAATCGGCCATAAAGACGTAAATGCATACACTTTCTATCATTTTCAAAGTCTTGAACATTATGTTAGTCTTCATTTATTTACTGTTTGCTGCTCATAGGCGTTTGCATAGGCATAACTATTTGTACATTTTTTCCTTGCTTGTTGGTGTGAAGTGTGGCAACATGAATCAACACAATTCTGTGTCAGGTTCTAGGTTTGTTTACTGCACTGTAAATCACCAAACAAGATCCAAGGTCGATGACAACTTCAACCATACCTAATTGATGTGGCGATATCTAGTGATTTACACTGAATTTTCATTGGCTCCACGATGTACATATACCCGTAACCGATAAACTGGAGAGAGTTTCTAAACTGAGACCATGATGAAATTAGGCTTCAGACTGTTCTGTTGAATAGATTAGGAAGACACTATGACAATGGCACGCTAAGTTCTTTTAAGTTCCTATCTAAGTGCTCAGAGGTTGCATCATTGATGATATAAGAAATCGATTCAATGAACAACTAACTGTTAAAGTGGTTGCAAGGGACCGAATGTGATGATGAGGCAAGCACAGATACTGTCTTCAATGAATGAAAAGTTGAGCCTAGGAGGTGTTTCTGCACTATCCGATCAGACGGTGATCATTTCGTCACTTTTCCGACAATTGCATTTTCCTTATTGGATATAATCAGTTGGAAATATCGACTAACTTCAAGGATTAGAACACATATTATCATTACACGGTGAAGCTCCATCCATACCCTGAGCACGGGACTGCACCTGAAGAGACATATAAAAACAACAGGAACACATCTTCGGATGAAACTCTATTACGAAAATCTCGTCAAAGCATTTAAGAAATACTTGCAAGATAACTGTGTCATTTTCATTCTATTCAGTAAAAAATAATCGAAACTGTGCACACTACAGAAAAAGATGTAAAGTAAATTTTAGTATTTACATACAAACTGAAACCAGGCAACTAACTTCGATGGGATATGAAAATAAAACGAGTTACGTGTTCACTATATAATTCGACATGACAACTAGATCAGGTGAAAAAATACTGAAAAGAGAACAACTGTACATTTCATTTCTTTGTTTGTATTTGACTACATTTTAATGTGATGAGTCAATTTTGATAGGTGACAGCAGAGCTGTCGTTACTTTAGAAATTCTAGTGGAGTTTTATTCAATCAGCTAACTGGTTTTAATTTTTGGTAGTGATTTATTTCGGACTCGAAAGTTTATTAATGATGAAATAACACCAGAAGTGAAGCCTTCAACGATCTCATCAAACCTTCGCACAAGCAACTAAATATATTATCACTTTGACTATCCGAGATAGCCGTGGTTTGGCAAACTAGTATTGATACTGGGTGATGATTGAAGGTGAAATGAAAACTTGGATCGCGGCCTAACTCGAACCAGCGACCTTCGTGTTCCCGATCAGGTGCTGGACGTGGTAGCTCAGTTGGCAGAAGATCAGGTCTATGAAGTGGATGTTAAGCCAGTCGACAAACATTGTAGACATCTGGAATCCGGGCAAAGCACTTCAAATGTTTTTTAACTAATCTACTGTTTCAGTTAAGTGTACTGTATGGTACTTTTCTTGGGATCCATTTTATACCTAGTTTGAGTTTCTTATCAAAATGGGCATATATATAATCCTTAAGATCTAGACATTTGGTCCCGATAGTTAGGTGTTTATCGACCAAACAGAGTCAATCGTAGTACAGTGTTATAACAGCTTGATATCGAGCAGACTAGAAAAATCATAAACATTTGCTAATTTGCCTAAAGAGAGAAAAAAATGACTATTGAGAACAAGCTTGTTCCGTTGTAGGATTTCAAATAGGTCATCCAAGTGAGAAATAACAAACCTTCACTGAACACTCACCTCTCGTTGATTGGAATAATGATATAATCTTTGCTGAAAAGATCAACCCGACGTGTCCACTTGGCTACATTAGCGTGTTGAACAAGAATCGTTCTGAAAAAATGAACACAGGTGGGAAAGGCAACTTAGACAAGTATTCAGGAGATACGTATAACAGAGATTGATCTTGTTTATACGTGATCGAAAGTGAAAAACCAAATTTGTGAAAGTTCACTATTTTCGCCTTGTTTATTTCAGTGAGTGTGGTGCATGCAGTGAAGAAAAGGATGAACACGCTATACTTTAGCGTTATTACAAAAACCCAGTCAGTTTTAACTTCAGTAATTAAGGCCTTCGACACTGTGATGCTTGTAAATAAACACCTATGTGGGGATTCAAATAGTATTCAAGTGAATATGTTTGCAAATTATTTGAAAGAGCCAATACAAACAACGCACTGCATTGGTTAATCAAGAAGGAATAACTTCCTTGGTTATAAACAGCTACCTAAGGTTCATCAAATACTCTCTTTTAAAGAGTTAGTAAATTATTCCCGTCATTTCCAGCTTTTATGGATTCAATTCGGTTACTTCAAGACTAGGTCATAACACAGATTCAGCAGAAGAGCATTAAAGAATAACTTGTCACGATCCAGCAAAACACTACCAGTCAATCAAAAGACATCATTCTACTAATAATCTTCATTTTAGGGGGGGGGTGTCATAGTGTACAGTAAGATTGACAAGATCTTCATCAGAAGCCGCAAGTCCCTGTGGCTTTTTACAACCAATCGTGTTGCACTGAAGTCTCGAGAGAAGGCACGTGAACCAACGTGTAAATATTAGATTGGTTGAAGAGACAAAAACCAATAGGACATTCAAATCTAGAAAGGCCTGGAAATAGACAAGGCCATTGCAAAATATAAACCACTGTATTTTGTATATACTTGTTGATGTTGCAATACACATTCTATTATCTCAAAGCCTTTTCCATTTACCAAGAAACTGAGCGACCATCAAGGGGTGGAATCTGAGGATTATAGTTCGAATGATGAACCATATTCGTCAAATGCAACGCTATCTAATTAAAGCTCAAAGTGTGATGAGATAGCACTATCAAAGAAACAGACTTTAATGAGACAATTTATGAGAAAAATTCCATTTGAGACAATAAAAATGTCCCAATGATGGTGAGAAAATATTTAAGTACTGGGCATAAGTCTAGGTACTCGACTTCCAACCGACGGGTCACAAGTTTAAGCCTTCCTTCACCTATCAAGGTCTGGATAGGCGGGTATTATCATTAACCCTTACAAAATAAACGTAGCTCATCGCCTACTGCACGGAGGTGCATATAGTTGCTGAGATGATTCCTAGATTGAGTAAACTGTGACTTATTTATTATGCTGCTTACAAATATTACATTCTTTGCTGCGAAAAACAACCGGAAATTTTACAGTAGTCCAGGGAAAATGCTTATTAGGTAAGACTAAACAATATTTATACAAGGGTAAAGCAAGATGTCAGAACACTCATGCTTAGAACTTGTAGATAACTTTGGAAGTATGGTGATCCAAGGAAGACCGTTAGTCTGCAGTGAGAGCCTGGTTAATAAGAAGCTACCATACACTTATTATGAACGTGATAATCCTCTATGACGGTACGGATGACTACTTATTTTATTGCTAAATCTGCACTGAAGTATTCCACTAGCCCATTACTGTGGTAATGCAATCTGATAAGCGTTTTCTAATCTTAGTGAGATACTACAGCCTTGGCGTACTTAAAATAGTTAATCTCATACCACAAGGAGAATTCAAAAAGTTTAACAGTATCAGAGAAAACCGAGGGTTCGGGCTAGGTTAGTTTTTGAATGAGAAACACAGAAACCTTGCTGTGAAATGAAGGATTAGAATCAATTACTGATCTGTAATTCACAAACACTAGTCTCAATAACAAATGAATGAAAGGTGATATACAAATAACACAGTTAATTAACCTGTCTGCTTATGGAAGTCTTACTAATTTATCACAAATTTGAGATATGAGTAGATAGTAAAACTATGCATTTTCTTGTTGATTACAGTCGGTCTATGAAAATCAACCTCAAGATGAAGGGGATTTGTTGAGCATAAACATAGAATTTGTGTAGAAATGAATCTCAACACAAAAACCAAATATGATAATGGTGTTTTTTTTTCAAAGTATAAAACATACTGATTTGCTGTTTCTGAACTTTTTGGTATGCCCGGTGTAACTGGATGACTTGATGGGTTACAACTTGCCAGCCGGCTATAGAAAAACACGTTGAACAAGTAAGTAGCTTGTTTTTGAGATTCTGTTAACTGTTCGAAGTACAAATATTTCAGATAGAAATTGATTATTGCGTCGTTTATGAGGCCGCCAGGTATTAAACATGCAATATCATTATCGGTTAATGTTACACTGTCGGTAGATCCAGGAGGTTTATAATCAAATTTGCTTGAAATTAAAGAATAAAATGTTGGTACCATTAGATTTAAATAAGAACGGTAGAGTAAATGAATGAACTGTAAGGTAAATGAAAATAGGCTCTCTTTTGCAAGGGTTATCTTTAGTAGACTTTCGCCTCAAAGAAAAGTGGGGAGTAAAGTGTGGAAATCTTAAAGTAGACCATTTGAATCTTGACTATAGTTAAGTACTTGGAAATGAATTACTGTCTCTCGTTAGAATATTTGCAAACAGTATTCGATGCTGAAAGAGGGACTGTAGAGCATTGTTAACAGGATGGTCTGGTATCTGGGTTGATTGGACAGTATGGTTTCGGAAGGCTACAGTGGGTGGTTCAAATTCAGTAGTGTTGCAGGTTCTTAACCCATCATCAACGTAAAATCAGTTTTATTCAGAAAAACCCCCGTTTAATTTTACGCCGTATCGTGAAATACACTACGGAAAATGAATGGTCCTAGTTTCTTGACAATGAGTCGTCAAGCTACAAAGTAGGTCTGCAGAGAACTTGAGAACTTTACTAGGACATCAGAGTTGACTGAAAAGTCCAGCTGTAAGACTATAGATAACATACAATGTGCTTAGTAAGGAAGGACAAAACAAGTTTAGTTTGGATGTAAGTCAAAATGAGGACTATTATTCCTGGCAATGATCTGATAACAAACTTTCCTATCAATTTCCGGACCGGTTATTAGACACACTCCACGAAGTGCACTTTTTAACCCTTGAGACACATTTCAGAACTTAGAATGATGGAGACAAGTTGATTACTTCGTCTTTAGAAGTTGGAAGTCTTAAATTCTGAATTACGATACTAGATCTCCCTGAAGTCACTGAGCAGCATGTAGCAATGAAAAATACAATTGATTGGCAACGCTAGTTAGCGTAGTATTGCAACTCAATTTCATGCTAATTTAATCCGTTTCAGTGAATAACAATTCTGTGTTCAGTTAAACCAGAGAGATAAAAAGTATAAAGTCGACTATCATAGCCGAAGATGATTTCAGCAAAAATGTTATCAAAGAACAAGGATGTTTTTTTACACTTCGCGTTGTGCATTCACACACACACACATACACACACAACAACGACAAATTAATACAAAGCTACATTTATATTATATTCTGAAGTACGAGGTAAGCTGTAGTTGTCAAATGTAGCTAAATGAAGCGATGCAATTACATGTTGATTTGCCTGTTTGTCAAAACATACATTTTAAAACTCCAGCTCTTTAATGACGACTGAATGAACTTTAGTAACAGGAACATATGTTCAGCGACAGATTAAACACTGTATGAATGGTTACCTCGCCACGAAATGGCAATACTGGTAGCTTTGAAGGTAAACAGACTCGGATAAGTATTATTTATTGTTTTTCCCTTGGGTTCCTAGTGGGATATAGGGCTTCAGTAGCACGCCTCCATTCCACTCTGTTCTCTGCAGTCTTATGAACCTCGCTCCAGGACTGCCCACAAGCTCTCATTTCTTCCTCACACCATCTACTCCATGTCATCCTCAGCTGGGACGCCCAACTCGTCGTTTCCCCTTTGCATTCCACTCGAGAGCCTGGCATGGCGCATGATGTCCCCAGTCGACCTTCTTAGTCTATGCCTAATCCAATCCATCTCCACTTTTATCTGCATATTTGTTGGGTGATAGGTTCTTGGTTGGTTCGTTACCAGGCCAGAGTTCCTTGTTGCTTATTCTTTCTGGCCATCTGATCTTCAGTATCGAGCGTAGGCAGCTGTTGATGACGTATGTCTTTAGTTTGTTGGAAATGCTTTCGTGACGTGCCAAGTTTCTCAACCATCACATACAAGCACTGACTTGACATTGGTGTTGAAAATCCGGATCTTGTTCTTTGTGCTGAGTGCAGTAGATCTCCATAGAGATTTCAAACTAACGAAACCCTGTCTTGCTCTTCCGATCCTGGTTTTGACATCCTCATCTGTGCCACTGCCACCTGTGGTTGAAACGATGCTGCTTGCCAAGGTAGGTGAAAGACTACTTCCTTTAGGTTTCTCCCGTTAGTGGTGGTTAGTGCCTCTTGTTATTGATGCTGTTGTTGGTTGGGTATCTTCATCACCTCTATCTTTTCTACATTCACTTGAAGTCCCGTCTTCGCTGCCCTGCCTCTTCTGCAAACTCGTTAGTTTTCGTCTGTAGATCTTCGAGTTTGTGAGACAACACATTGGACATTAATCATCATCGGCGGTGGCAAAATCCAAATCTTCTTCTGGGGTCTTTACACCGGTCCGGCGTATGCCCATCTTTCCGCTCCTCACGGTTTGCCACATGATCCAGTCGACCACAATCAGCAAGATGATCGGTGATGATAGTAGGCGGCAGCCTTGTCCTACTCCTTCCTTCCTGTCTTCACTTCAAAGGTATCACTGAGCTTCCCATTGTGAATCACTTGGCATGTAGCGTCATACAGCATGTAGCTGTTGAATGAGGTTGATAAAGGTTTGTGGCACTGGAACCGTAGTGTTGAAGCAGCTGCCTGACAAATTACTTCCCAATCGACGCTGTCGAAGGCCTTCTCAAAGTCGATGAAGTTGAGGTAGAGATCCAGTTGACTGCCATTCTATACTCTGTTCTATGATGATGCGTAGCATAGCATTGCAATTTGATCCGCACATCATTTGTACTTCCTGAAGCCAGCCAGCCTGTTCTGGTCGTAATGTTGAATCCAGCGCATTCTTTAGGCTCTCTAGGATGATGCGGCCTAATATTTTGCTTGGTTTGGGTGGACAGCAGCATGATTCCTCGCAACTTCTTGCAAAGGTTTAGGTCTCTCCTTTGGGGGTTTGAAAAGTTAGCCCTTCTTTCAATCTGCAGGTACCTCCCTTGTTTTCTTTCCAAATCTTCTGCAGTAGTGATGTGAGCATGTCCGCTGTTGTCTCTGCGTCTATTTTTAGTGCTTCTGAAGAAATTCCATCTAGTCCTGCTGCTTTCCTAACTGTCAGCAACTTTATGGCATTCAGGACTTCTGCTTTTGTTGGAGGGCCTGCGTTCACTGGTAGTTCTGCCATTGCTGGTGGTATTTCTGGACGAGTTGCAGGTGGTGGTGGTCGATTCAAGAGATTTTGAAGTGGTCTCGGATAAACCAGAAACCAATAATCCTAGGTATGCAAAGTTAAAAGTTTATCGTCTTATGCTTTCAAAAGATCAATTTATCAAAAGTAATGAGAAATAAATTTCCATAGATAAAATATGCATGAGACATTTTCAAAGCAAAACTAAGTATCGTAATGAGTAGTTTTACACTTACAAGGAATCATCACCACAATTTGTAGGCAATACTGTACTGTTGGATTGAGCGGCGCATTGCACATTCTGGACCCAATCGCCAGTACTTTCATCCGATAGTATGATTAGGTCATCACGTTCTTTGTCACACTTAATGAAGCAAACAAAATTAAAAAAGGTTTACATCAACCCAAGCAAGTGAATGGAAATACTTTATTACATTACTTCCTGTATAAGAATATAACGACTATGCAATAACACTGATATTTTAGCTCTTCATGGATTGATTACACTGAACGTCTACGTGTTCCATGAAAACTGAGCATTAAAACGATTTGCAAAGAGTTTATTAGTACCTTGAGTTTTGGTCGGCGCTTACAAGCAATAGCTTGACCTACATAAGTATGCGGATTGGGTCCGAAGTTTTATTCGACAGCCAAAACTTCTTAGCATATTCTAGTTGTTTAGGTTAATCAAAAAACCAGTCAAATTAAAACGAATTAAGAGAAAAGTGAAATTGTAGTGGATGCATTTGGTGTTAGATACTATTTTGGGGCGCATGGTTACGCATCCAGAAAACTCAGGAAATACATATAGGTGGATGTACTACAACATATCTAAATGATGGTCCTACCAAAAAATGTAGAACCAGTCAATTAGTGGACATTTGTGCCATTTTTGGGTCAAACAGTGTTCCTAAGCTGAAACGGAACATGGCTTTTTTTAACCAGACATGAGGTGAAGCTTTGGCTATTCTAGCCTTCAACCTGTCCTATTCCGATTAAAGTTAAGTAAACTCCACTATCTTTTTAAAGATATGAAATCTCTTTCTCTTAGCCTTCTAATAATTAATGTCATAACCTTTTACTACAGATTCAGTGGTTAGTGTTTACATATAGATCATTCGATACACCGAATTCCTCTATAATAACATACTTTTTCATCAAAGAGAACAGATTAACCCTGTCTCTTAGTTTCGAAATAAAGAAATATGTCTTATGGATATGAGGAGGTTAGGTTATATGTACCCGTCCACATAAAGCAGCGAGGTATACACTATTACAGCGATTCTCTTGGTTACAGAAGGAAAATAAATTTGTGCTCGCATACTTTAGGTGACTACACCAGTCAGTCGGTATTAACGTGGGGCCTGTTATCATAACGCAACGATCCAAGTTGTTTCACCTCATATGAGTAAATCAAGAAAGAAGGCACCAAGACGAACAGTAGAGAATACAGCAGAAGGCAATCGGAAGTAGTTGGAATTCCAAAGAAGAAGAGGTAAAACAACAACAACAACAACAACAACATTCGGTACGAAGATTAAAATGATGTGTCCATGTGTCTGTGCCATCGAAATCCATCCTGAGCTTATCACCTAAAGCTTTCAACCAACGATTTCGGCTATCATGTGAACGCCGGTCGAGACGTTTACATACTTCTACACGACTAAGACCGACAGTAGACTGATGCCACGTTTTATTCTGGCTGTTTGTAACCGATCCCCAACCTGAACCTACTTCACCTGGCATTTCAGGAAAGGGATCGTGTTTGCTGTTTCTGCATAGCACATATCCGAGCCATGCGTCAATGAAGTTTTACAAAGAGATCAACAGGATGACCTATTCCAGTTAGAACTCTACATGTGATTCTCAGTTAAGGTCGTGGCGGTGTCAAGACATATGATGAGTGTTACGCCGGCAGCGGTGACTGAACACCTGCGGCCATATCACTTCACTTTCTATTGTTGAACAGAGTATCGGGAAAGATCAATTTCGCAGAGACAGTTTGCAGTTGGGTGATGTAAAACACACCTCAAAAACCCGTCAAATCGAATTCCAGCTGCTCAGAAGGCTTTGCATCTGTTAGTATCACCACCTAACACAACTATGTAGTCTGTGTGCTACGGATGCTCTTGTCGCAAGTCTTGTCATTGTAAATTTAGATGAGAAGAGGGAAATCCACACAAGAACGTTCACCACGAAGTTGAATAAGAATGGAGGGAGTGAATATCCCTGATGGACATTACTCGACATACATAGTTTACGTGACAGCTTAAGAAAGGCTTTCAAACGTCTATGGGCGTTCGAATATATAACCTGTTAGATTTTTTGGGTTCGCGGATCCCGAGACTTAGTTGGGCGTCTATCACAGAACCTAGACATCTCGTGTTGTAATCGTAAGGGATTTCTCCTCTTTCTCGATGACAGGGACAATTAGTGGTTAATATCAGTAAGATGGAATTATATCTGATTGCCGTACGCTAGCTCGCACTTTCGTTATTACAACCAGTAATTTTTGGCCACCGACCTTGAATGCCACTAGTGATGACCCATCTAAAATACGACTTTTCCTTCTTTTGGTTAGTCCTAGCTCCTTCAACTTTTGCAAGTGTTGAAGTGCCTGTATCAGTGTTGCATTCAGCACCCAACTCGACATCACGCAAAGGAATGGCAGTTGGAGACCAGTCGAGCTATTTCTCGAAGTGCTCCACCCACCGTTAATCATATTCCCTAAGAGTGAATTGCAGACTCATCCTTATTTACTATGGACTCAGTAATTATTTACAATTTTTCCCTAATTTCTTTGATAAGTCTAAATAAACGTTGCTTACCTGTCTTCATTGCAATAAGTGGATCGAACAAAATAGCCCGAAAATAGACCAATCAAAATGTGCTTTTCATTAATTGTGTTTACAGTTAGACTGACAAGAGACTAATCAATCAATCAACCAACCAACATTATTACCTTTTTTTTAAACACCGGACTATATGTATTTTCTCTTTTTCCCTATTACTTTGAGTTTTCTGTATGAACACATGTTCTTACACGTTTCACTGTCTTCTCTTCTCTGGTTGGGAATCAACTAGAAAGTTGTAGAACGTTGCTGGCTGACAGTTGATATTTGTGCATCGTTAGCGACTATAGCAGTCTTAAACCAAAATACGTTTCCTTACCCACTTCTTTAGCTTTCGTTGCCCGTTGCTGTTTAATGTCATTACGTCGACTGACTTCATCTTTGAAGTGCTTCCGTTCCTCGTAGTACGAATGCACGAATGTTCATGTGCATTCGACACTTCAGACACACCGGTATCTAGACAAACACCGCACTTTCTGTATTGAAACTTAATACCTACACCTACAAACCGCAAGAACTCGTTATTGAATTCTCAGGAAAGTGAACAGTGAATTTGGTATTTTCATAATATTGGCACTACATACTTGCTCGGTACTGCTTTTACAGTCGGACACTGCCACAACACTTCACGGTAGAGAGAACAGAACAGATTGAGAAAGTGTATTGGTCGGTAAGTGTGTCCACATTATAGAACCTGTTGGACGGTGAAAATATGATCGATTTACAGTTGTCTAGGTCTGAAGCCTGCCTGAATTTCTAGAAATTGTTCTTTTCAAGGTGCAGGTAGGCGTCCGGTAACTATGGATCCTAGAATCTTGGACACGATATCGGCCAAACTAACTTCCCTATGGCGGTCACAAGAAAAGCTCTCCCCTCCCCTCTCCTCTTATTAACTGGGATGATTAGAGAAGTAGACCGTTTTGAAGGAACTACCTCTGATTCCCGAACCCCACCTAGTACCTGCATCACATTGATCACCAGTTTCCTATCTCCATCCTTGGAAATTTCGAATGGCAAACTGTCCAGTTCACCTGCTTTGCGACGTTTCAAGATAGAAACAGCCTTTTCAACTTTGAGGAAAGTCGTAGCACCGACACCTACGTCCCAATCTAAGTTCAAACTGAATGTTGGGTAGTCGAAGCGTGGCTGTGGACAAGTTGAACTGTGTTTTAAAGTGTTCAGCCCATCGCTCAAGTCGCCTGTCCTAACAGGTTACCAAGGTCACGTACTTTTCGGTGGTTTTACTCACCATCATCTTTTTAATGCATGTATCCCGAATAGGCGAAAATAGTTGAAAGGTGTTACCCAACACCGGTGCTTTCTTCGCCTCTTTCGCTCTCACCACCACTCACGATCATTGCAAGGACTCTTGGTCAATTTACTTTAAAGTTGCTTTCGCTCTTCGTTGTGTTCAGAGTCAGCTGGAATGAGTCACCACATCAACCAGTCAATTAGGATGACATTGAGGAAAACCACTGACGTTTGCTATCTGTAGAGTGTCGATTAACAACTGTCTTTACCTCTGTTTCTACCGTGGACTTAACATAACAAGGCTCCTCAGGATGGGAATTGCTGTCACGACCAGATAAATGCTTAGCTAACTCCTCCCTAAACGTGTATTTAGTGTTCTGATGTTTCAACCAATCATACGCAACCTTTACTGTCACCGGTTTCCTGAGACCAGCCGGGCGTAGATATCCATGTGATCGGAGCCCAAACAGGTGCAGTGAAAATAGCGGCAATCCTCCACCGATGGCTCATAGTAATGTGATCTATTTATGTCCATCGTTGGTTCGATGGCGATAGACGCCATATAACAGTGTCTCTCCTAATGATTGGACCTAGTGTTGGCCAAAAACAGGTCATTGTTAGAACAGACGATCACCACTGTAAGCTCCTTGGCATAGGATACCATAGAATTTCACCAAGATGTCTTTCCGATTGGTTCAGTTTCCCTATTTGAGCGTTACAGTCACCTGTTATTATGATTACATCCGAACGTTTTGCTTTCTATAGCAAAATGGAAAGCTTTTTATAGAACTCATCCTTTGCATCATCCGAACTACAGTCGCTGAGTGTGTACGTGGAGATTAGGAATAGGTATCGGCCAGTCTCATGATCTCTCTTGGTCCTTACAGATCCATTCAGTCAGGCAGTGTGTAGATGGCTGTTGATTGGTATCCAGTCAAGGAGTGCGCCTTCTGCTTTACATCACCTAGTCCACGAGAGGTGGCCACTTGGTCTCCGGACACTCGTAAGATGAATTTCGAAGATTCACTACCATGGGCAAGTGAGGTCAATCTAATTACCACACTCAGACCCTGTGTCTCAAAGATCCAGCATACATAGATGGCTAGAGATTCGAGAGTTCAGGTGAGCAGTGCTTGGTGTCCGATATGATATGCAGTTCGGAAGTCGGGAGTTTCTACATGAAATCGATGGCAATCCATGCTGTCGTGTTACACGTCTGGGACATGGCTGTTACAAGTAGAAGACATGAAGCGACTACAGAGTTTTGATCACAGATGTCTTCGTAGCTTTGCTTGCGTTTGGTGAAATCGCCCTGTGAGGTCAGGCGACGGGGTACTAGGTAAGATAGGCAAGTCGATCGATGAGGTGAACCTTCATAGGCTTAGGTGACTTGACTGCGTAAGCCAATCCCCCACACACTTCGATTTTCATGTTGAGGGAAGTTGAATTAGGTTTGAAAAGGGTTCAGGGTAACCAGACATGGAACCAGTCCATGAAATCCTTAACAGTTGGTCTGAGTCATGTAGAGAGATATAGACTATCTGGCTAGGGTCCCGAGACGATAGGAATCAGTGGTTGAGAACTATTGTCGACATGTCTGAAAGTCAGCCGCAGTGGCGCAGATGTATTCACTCCTTGACATCTTCTGGAGCTTTAATATCTGCCGTAGCCGCCATATTCAAATTGTTTATTATCTCACCCAACTTTTTCTACTTTGATATCACTCTTTTTGTATCCACCTGTTTTGTGTACTACTGTTAAGTGTAGGAACTTGAGCTGATGCACTTGTGTGAGGTTCTACGTTGATTTTGTCAGTCAGTCAGGAAGGTTTCGATGAATTTGATGGTTGGCAATGGTCGCAGGGTGAGAGGTTGAGGAAGGTCTAAGAGGTTTAATATTAGCATCAGGAGGTGAAGGAGGAGAGAGAGTTGAGGAAGATAGGTTATGTTTAATTGGGTTTTGAGTACTACCAGAAGCGTGAGGGCGGTTGGCACTTCCCGGCTGCCTACACCACGGAAAGCCCTTTTTTCTTAATGAATTTGAAGGGGGGAAAACACTTGTGACTGCAGAGCCCATGGAACATTTGCTTTAGGCTTATTACATTCAGCCTTACAAATAGTTGGAAGATATGTGGATTCGAAAAGTTGAAGGTTTGCGTCAAGTGACATGAACTGCAATGATGCACAGTCATCAAGGTAACCCGAATTCTTGAAGTCATCAGTTTTTGACTGTTATGTCGTGTCTTAGAACTACATAGGTATCTTACAATATAATTAGGTTACATAGCTACTACTAAAGTGACTACCTCTCTTTCAAATCATTTGTGAATACTTGTGAATAAAACAGGAAGGTCGTGACAAGTAACAGTAACGGAAATCTTTTGTAGTCAATTGGCTGTTTGATGGCGTCGGTAACAAATGACAACAACATGGATATTTTGATTAGGAGCAGAAACGTGATAAAATATCTTCAGTTAATGGGTAGTTAAATCATTTGCCTACTGACGAAGATAAATACAGTTAGCATTACGCAATAGAGTATTCACTTGCTGCGATCTCTGTTTACTAACTTGTATCAGTGAACTTTTCTAATTAATATAGTGAAAAAAAGATGGAGTACATTTTACCGGATGATGCTTCGAGCGGTTGTTGCTCTAATTGACTAAATTCGAAACAGGTCGACTTATGAATGTTGATAAAAGTGAGCACTTTTTAGTTCCCCAATGGGAGGCAGCTGTTTAGTGTTGTTCCCCAAAACTACTTAGCGGATGTTAGTGTTAAAGGATTACCTGATTGACAAAAAATCTAGTATGTATATATGATGCAGTAACCTAATTAAGTTAATAACGTTAAAAGTTAGTGTACATTCTCAGTATTACATTTCAGTTTATGACTTTTCATATAACATCGATGCACATGTTATAGTTCTTAACTTACTTCATTTACAGCCGATTTTTCTGAGCTCATTCCCCAGGTTGAAGAGCCAGAACCATTTTTGAACTCGATGCCAGAATTCGCAAAAGTATTCAATACATTCGTTAATAAACCACCTTCATTCGTATACTTGACAATCTGAGATGAACTACTCTCCGTATCTGAAATATGAATTGCTTCATTCTCAGCTTTATTTTGATCGACTTGGTAAGAAGCATGAGATTCGGTAGCTAATGCAGTTCGTTTTAGTTCAGCTCGAGGTAAACGAAGACCACAACTGGTAAGAATTTCTCGGGCTTTTTCGGCATCACACTTCAAGTCACAAGACCCATTTTCTCGAATATTATTGGCCAAACCTTCAAGTACATTTGTAGTCAAGTAAAAAGGGTCACTAACAGAAGGTTCCCGAAACACTAAAAAGAGCCACTTGACATTTGCTTCAAAATAAATAAACGAAACGGTTTGAATAATCATATCATCAAGGAAATTTAAAACAGAATTACTATTTTGAAAAGCATTTTATCAGCATCAACGTCATGTAGGTTACTGCATGGATCATTTACTTTCGATATCAATTTCATATGAACTTGAATGTCAAGTAATGCCATTTAGGGTTAAGCTATTCAGAGGTGGTGCGTAGCTGATAGGAACCCAGAAAGTCTATGTTAAATTATGAAAACAGCGAAATATGTGTACTTACAATGGAACTAGATCTGCTTCTTAGGACTATTGAGAAGATATATCGGTTGCCAGGGGCTGGTCAATACAGAGTCCTCAAATAATAAAGGCAGTTAACATTTCAAATGTATAACTGAAAAATTTGGCGAAAAAATGAATTGTTTTTTATAGGAGCAACTAAGTACTAAAATGTTATGCATACTAGTTGCATGCATTTGACAACCAACTTTAAGCTGCTGAAACGGGGTTGAATCTACACTTTGATATCATATGTGACATAATAGAGTAAATTATATATATATATATATATATATATATATATATATATATATATATATATATATATATATATATATATATATATATAAAATTTTATTATTTGTCCCTTGGGTTCCTAATGGAACATAGGGCTTCAGTAGCACGTCTCCAATGCGCTTTGTTCTCTGAAATCTTTTGAACCTGGCTCCACGATAGCCCACAAGCTCTCATTTCCTCCTCGCACGATCTCCTCCATGTCACCCTCAGCTGTCAACTTGCTAGTTTTCGCCTGTAGATCTTCAAGTTTGTGCGACGTCAGACACAAGTCATCGGCGAAATCCAAGTTTTCTAGGATCTTTTCCGCGGTCCAGCGTATCTCCCTCTTCTCGCTATATATATATATATATATATATATATATATATATATATATATTCAGCAATTCTGACCATTTTTTAAAATATTTAATAGTAAGCAAATGAAATGGTTCGCTTAGATAAAAATGATGAAAGAATATAGTATTTGTCAACACATTGTGAGCAGATGTTTGGTGTAAATTCTGGTCTCATCAATGTAAGTTATTGCTTCAAAAATAGTCAGCATCGGGACTTGTTTGACAATAGGAAGCTAAGCTGCAAGTATACAGATAAATTCACTTGATAAGTCATATTAACCCTAACTAGGTAGTGGATAGTGAAGTGTAGTAAACAATGTAGATTCTTGATCGAGCTGAACCAACTTACGTCATTTATATTACCAGTGCAACATCTCATGCTGTGAACGCCTAACAACCACCTACCTTTACGCGTTATTTAAACAGGAGTGGAAAAACTAGGTTGTGAGACTCACCTACAAAGTTTCTAACTACTAGTCTGAACTATTAGGCAAGTTTTTATAGAGTAATAGTGGCTGATTGTAATGGAAGAGGAAAGAATGATGATTGTCGATTGAAAGAGCTAATACGGATACGATATAGAGTAATACGATCGAACAATAAGCAGTCACGAGAACAAAGTTATAGACTGACTGATTGGACTCCAATTATGACCATTCCCAAAGTCCAAACTAGTGAGTGATCAAGAAGGATCAGAGATTGATCGTATGTTTTATTGTATTCTTTAATTGAATAAACTGTTATAGACGAGCTGAAGTTAAATTAATATGAATATAAATAATACAACTAAAATCTACAATTGACTATGAGTAGGAGTTCACAAGTCAGAGGTGATTATAGTTTTTCTTGATTCAATACTTTAACTTCTAAGAGCAGTACAGATAAATACGTTTCTTCATTACATTCTTTCTCACCTGTTTCACCACCATAGTTATTAATGCCTACACTTGATTTCTCTGCTTCTAAGTATTTTATAGGTTTTTTTGCGTTATATGTTTCTTGGTTTTAAACATGTTTCGGATCGTTCAGAATTATTTATTGTTTCATAAGGCCAGGCAGGTGAAGTGGTAAATTGTAGAGGTTTACCAAAATTGTATCCGGTAAAGCTGACACAAATTGCAACGGGATGAAAAAGGAAATGCGAGCACATTAAAGTGTCATAGCACAAATAGAAAGAAAACACAACTGAAGGCGGCTTAACGACACTCCTGATTACGTTTCATGGAACTGTTGGTTGGGCGTAGGTCAGGCGTAAGTTGGCAGTTAGGTGGGGGTATGAAATGATCAGTTAGGAACGATAACCCTGTTTATACGTATTCAATCAAGTTGCGACTTGATGATTCGAAATAAATTTGGGTCCTGGGTACACGATATTCATTATTTTGGCATTTGCATTTTGCAATGAATGTAGAAAAAAAATTTGTTTTAACTGACGTTTTACTACTTTGTCCTAATAGTTTTATCAAAGTTAAAATAAACTGGAATTTACAATATTCAAGCTTATATACTACAGCTTGATATGAGTTCTTCTGCATGGATGATTCTGCTTTGTCAAATTGTGGAACAAACTTGATGTCCACGTATGGTGTTTTACTGTGTGGTGAGAGTTGTGTGCATACATGCGCCGATAGTCCTTATCGCATGTGTGTTGGTTATGTCAGTGTGTGAAGGTGCATCGAAACCAGGTCTAGTTACATCTTATTCCCTCATCCCTATTTAGACAATTTCGAATCAACTTTATGCGAAGAGATTCTGCTATGAGACGTTCCTTATAATTTCTAAGGACTTTTCTGAGTAATTTCAATGTTGTTAAAGTCGACCTTGCTACCAGAAATCATAGCATACAGAGAATACCAGTGACATCTGCTTAATTTGACAAAGCGGAATCATCAATGGAGAACTCATATCAAGTTACCGTATATAAAAGCATGGATATTGTAAATTCCGGTTTACTTTAACTAAAGCTATTAGCGTTGAATGGCGAAACATCAGTTACAAATTTTTGCTTTACATTCATTGCGAAATGCAAATACCACAATAATGAATAAGGACACTACTTTCGTTATTTTTAAGAATTTCTACCTGGGAGATCGATATTACTTGGGGCTTTAAAGAACCTAGCTGGAATAAGTCATCAAGTCTATGACAGAGTAAAAAGTAAATTATATTTATGATCTGCTAGCATAAATGTAGTTACACTTTTTTATTTGAATCTTTTATCTAATTAATATTACTTGTCTTCCAACTTGGTGACATTGGCCCTGTCATACATTCCTTTACGCAGACAAACATCGCTTAAAGTAGAGAAAAGAACGATAGCGAAGTACAGTATGAAGAACAAAATCATTCAAGGATATGTATGATTAAAGGTAAAGGTTTGCAGTTCAGAGAAAATCGCTGACTGTGTCGTTGATAGATTATCCAAGATTTCAAGTGTTTGATCTATGCCATTTACTAGGATTCTTAATTCCAGGTGTGTGGAAATCAGTAATTTTGAGGACTATTGGGGTGATAGAAATTAAGATTCTTTGGGTTAATGGACTTGTGATATTCTGTGTGAACATGACCCTACACTTTTAGATATTGACGTCGACTCTTAGACTTCATAGGTGTATTTGAAGTTACTACAGTACGTGAGTCAGTCAAACATCGAGGTTCTTGAAACGCGCAGGACATTAGGTCGACTGGCTGATGACGAAACTATCTTTAACCACCAGGTCGGCGACTCCAATCCCACTCTACTCTATCCGTTAAGTAAGTGGAAATATATTTCAGAGAAATCAATCAGTTAGTTAAGTCTCAAACACTTATCAACAAATGGACTGAGTGGATTTCATGCGCTCAGTAGCTTACTACTTAAGACAACTTTCCACAGAGCAGAAATGAAGCACCGGGGAATTACATAAAGATGCTATTTTGAAATGGCAAGTTCACAGGACAGCAGAAGCCAACACATGGAAAGCTCAAATATCGTGAAAGCCACCGTTTCTGGTTTACTTGATCGAACGACAAAACTAGCACAAGTCTGACATCCTTCAGTTCAATAGACAGACAAAACCAACGCTGAACCTTGCACACATGTGCATCACTTTCAGTCGCTACACTTCACAGTAGCATGCAAATAGGTGGGTAGAGAAACAATGATAAGGAATTTAAAGATAAATGTTGGTGAAACTACTCAAGACTCAGAGGTTAAAGAGTGAGTATATCTGCGCGATTGTAACCCGTTTTCAGCCATGTCATAAGAGTCCTCAACCACTAATTCCTATGACCACAGGGACCCTGACTAGGTACTCAATACTTCCTTACATTGCTCTGAATTACAGTCAGAGACTTCACAGATTGGAGTCACGTCCTCACCTGGCTACCCTGATCCCTCTCCCAACTAAGTTTAATTTCTGCTAGCATTGGACGTCGAAGTAGTCGGTGGCTCGGCACGCACAGCACATATCTTAGGGACCTCACTAGGTGATGTTTCAGAAACTCATCGACACACTTGCTAACGTCGCAATCGCTCACACGGGGACTCCATCATATATGACCAATGCTATAAAGACATCTGTATTCGAAAACCAGTAACATCTTCATATAGTCTCCTTTAACGACCGTCTCAGGTGGATAATAGAATATAGAAAACAGTAGCACAGTAAACTTATCCTTGAGTAGATATTCGGATACCTCGCCAGCGATGACGTAAGTTGGAAGATGTCAAACGGGACTTTGATATCCGAGATGAGATTTATCAGGCAGCCATCCCGTTAGGGTTGATACAACTCACCAAGTGAACCAGTCAACGCCCCCTACCCTTCCACTCCCATTATTTAAACAGGGATTAGTTTCAGACCATTTGTGAAGCATCATTATACATTTCACAAGTGTGAAACCTATCCCAAACACACATATTTATGCTCAACGCATTCACAAAACCCTGAATTTCGGCTGCATACTCCAAGCCAACCAGATAGTCTCCAGGATGTAGATCAATTCCTGTGAAGTCAGACGTGCCTAAGGTTATATCCATTAGTACGTCTACACCGAAGTTAAATAGGAAAGGTGATAGTGGGCATCCCTGGCGGATACCACTAGTTGTCTTCAGCTCAGATTACAACTCTATAAGCTTCTATACGGCTTCGGAAGTTTGAGTGACAGTTTTGATTATCATTGCATACTCGTTCGGAGCTCCTTTACAGTCAGAGAGTGACACATCTCAGCGGCGGTCACCGGTGGATATGCCTGAACAGATGACGGATGCACTTTTCTCTAGGTTCGCAGCTTGTCTGGTTTCCGTGAGTTCCAGTTAGACGTTGGGTAACTATAGAGCCTGATATCATAGATGCCATATTAGTCTCCGTTGTGGTTGACATACAAAGACTTTTCTCCTCTTTAATACATTGAAATGATGTGTGAAGCAGACCAGTCCGACAAGACTACCTCTGATACCCATACACTACATAATACCTTCGTTATTTCATCCTACAGTTTCCGACCTCACTCCTTAAAAATTTCCGATGGCAAACTGTTGGATCCTGTTGTTTTCGATCGTATAAAGATAGGAATACCCTTTCTAACTTCAAGGATAGTTGAAGCACCGCATCTAAGTCCAATTCAAGTTCCAACTGGATGCCGGGTAACCGAAGCGTTGTTGTGAGTTGAACCATGCTTCATGGTTCTCCCTAACCTTTAAGCTTTCGAGGTTTCACCAGCCACTATCCTGTTGATGTTATCGCTTGTAATTTCCTGTCTTCTTGCCAGTTTCCTTATTAGGCCAGGTACAACCTAGTGCTGATGCCTTTTCCATGTCTCTCGCTTTCGCCAAGCACCACCACTCACGATCATTGCAAGGACTCTTGGTCAATTTACTTTAAAGTTGCTTTCGCTCTTCGTTGTGTTCAGAGTCAGCTGGAATGAGTCACCACATCAACCAGTCAATTAGGATGACATTGAGGAAAACCACTGACGTTTGCTATCTGTAGAGTGTCGATTAACAACTGTCTTTACCTCTGTTTCTACCGTGGACTTAACATAACAAGGCTCCTCAGGATGGGAATTGCTGTCACGACCAGATAAATGCTTAGCTAACTCCTGCCTAAACATGTACTTGTTATTTTCGTTTCCCAATCGGGCACACAATACACGTGCCCGTGCTAACGCGGAGAATTTACGATGAATTCACATTTGTAAAATAATCAGTTCACTATTGATTAAACGCGTCACCGTTTTCACAATTTCTATACGAGTGTTGACCAGATAAAGAGCAAACAAACACTTTCTAGCTTGACAAAAGAGTCGTGAATAAACCTGTTGGTTGAATATGAATTCAGAAACGCCAGCAAAATTCAGTTACATTAAAACCAGAGGGAACAAAGAAAGGTTGAACAGCTAGCTAGTTCTTATTTTGCTTTGTTAACATTTAGATGCCCCTTTCAAACAAAATTCTGTCTACCTTGGAAAACAAACTACCTCATGTCAGATAAGTAGTTTGGGAATATATGGTGTCCAACTCTAGAATTGGACGGAAAGTCACTTCGCAAAATGCACATTTCTTGGACTACGAAGAGTAGTAAATGATACATGATCATTTGGCTGATTACAAGTAAAACACACAAGTCAGTCAGTTATAAAGGTGGATATCGATCTAGTGTTTACCAAAGCATGTGTAGTGCTTTGCATCTGAGTAAATCGTGATACAGACTATAGACTGCCACTCGTCGCCATTTTATCGAGCGAAGAGCTCAAAGCGCAAAAGTAGCCAGTGTACATTGGTTTAGGATCGTGAGGATTTGAATGGTATGTAGACCTAGGATTGACACATCATCATCATCATCATTGCCACTGGTTCAATATGAAATGCGGTTTATGTTGTCGCACCAATCACAGTTTAGTTAATAAGATAAAAACTGATATAAAAAAATGGAAATGTAAACATTCAGCTTAAGAGTAGACCAATTAGTCACTTTTCTGAAAAATTGCCTACCTTGTGTTATAGCTTACTAGTTATGTCAAACTGCCTTATAGGCTTGGATCTCCACCTAGATGACAGATTTATGAAGCCTTTTAATTACCTTTGCTTTTCACTGAAATATCTAAGGAGCACAATATGCTTGATAGCCATTCGTCACCATAATGGTATCCCTCGAAGAATGGAGTGCCATTTCATACCACACATTGTAGCACTCAATGGCGTCACCCTAAGTGGACTGTAGTAGACTTTACGAGGCTTTTAACTGTTTGCCCCCCTTAGAGTTTTGAGTAAACAGACAACACTACAACCACTGCAAAAAAATAAACGGATCTACAGGAAATTAACAATTTAAACAGGCACTAGAACCAACTAGTGGTTAATCATAGTTAAGAACGAATCACGGAACAGCAAACGGCCAAAAACTTACGTAATACAAACTCTTTAAGCTTGAGTAAGCTGGACAGTTGTGATTTGAAGGAATTATGTGGCTTCAAAAATATGACCTGGAGGACTTCACAAAATACGAGCCTAGCAATACTCTCAGACGGGATGTTGATGCTAGTCCATATGCCTGAAGAATAAATCATTAGAGAAAAAGAGCATACCTTCCACTTTTACTTTGAAGTAAATGGCAGATGAAGTTATACGGCAATCGTCTAAACGACCATCAAATATCCCTGATCTTCCTATGCTGAAAATGTTTAGAGGCACCAGGTAGTGATCAACGGCAGTTCGAGGCCTTTTGAAAGTTGGTGTGCCACTACATGGATCGTAAACAACTTCTACATTGGTATTTGATATCCCTGAACTGTCTAAAACTATTCTGTTGCACAGGGTGCACCTGAAATCCCTTGTGCAAGCAAACCCATCACAGCCTTGGTGAGGACACTTCCAAAAGCGTTTTTTTCTCTCATCACGAATATTTCTACAAAGGTAATCTATGTGCAAATTCTAAAGGAACGTACGGAGTTCTCCTTCTAAGGGCGTCCTGAACCTCTTGCAGCATAACGACCTCAAGGTCAACTACGCGCCAAATGCATTGAATTTCAATAATCTAGTGTCAAATGTAAGGTTACAAGTACTTTGCAAATTATTATCTGATAGTAAAACACTGTGTTCATACTTTACCTTAGAAGACAACCCTAAGTGTAGCTCTGTTTTTTTCATTTTTGGATAACATGTACATCAGTGTTTTTTGAGTACTGTTAACTACTGAAGCTTTTTTACTTCATTTCCCTAAAAAAGTTCATTTCAAAGAAATTTACCATTTAGTTTTACTTTTGCACTACTTCTTTTGTATGTTCGCTCGTATTATTTAGGTGTTTTCAACTAGAACACATGTTCTCAGCTGTCTCGGTGGAAAGTAGGTGTGCCACAGTAATTGTTGACAATGTATTGCTGTGTCATGCTTCTTTTCAGGTAGGTCAAGTGCTATTAATTCTCTTAGGGAAAAGGCAAAGCGAAGATTTTCATGGGGAACGATACCTAAGTGGCATAAGGGAATCCTTTCGCAGATGAAACTAGAAAGCATATCAACTTCATTGAAATTTTAAAGCTTTCTTTGAATGTACGACTGGGTTGTAGCATGAGTGAGCAGTGGTTGACTTGAAGTTGTGTTGGTAGGTTAATGAAGGAGCATACATATTTCTCGACTGACGGTGAAGGTATGACCGACAAAATGGATTTTTTCGTTGCATGGATACCGATAGTAGGTAGTGGAATGAGTATCAAGTGCGCATGATTTTTTTACTATGCCCAACTTTTGGAATATCCGTAGCCCAGTACGGGTTATTGATGCCATCAGGTTTGCCACAACCCCTTGTAACCAAACTTTTGTCCCTCTTGAGCTCCGTCTCATGTCTACGGCAACAGTGGTAGGTTACTTAACATAAATAGGGATCCCGGTAACTGTAGTTCCCTTCCTGGTTCATATGAGGTGGCTGTGATAACTTGTTGCCAGTTTACATAACCAGCGTAGTAGATTACGGAATAAAGCTCTTGAAGAGGGATGCAGATGTACCTTGTTAGGTTTAGAAGGTTACTGATATAAAGACTATTTACAGATGGCAAATGTTCATGAAGACATGCAGAGGTTTATTACGTGCGATGTCATCAATAGGAGTACTCGACTATAGCTTTGTTACTGTAAATACAAATCAGCACAAATTCTAGCAACAGTTGGAATCTTCCTCAGTATGATTTTCGTCCAGTGTGAGAGCGCCCACGCATAGTACGAGGGTTCCATGAACACGAAATTGCACACTCCGTGTGACTGTTAGATTGTATCAGTGTTCTGAACCCAGCTTGAGTACCGACGAGTGTGCACAACACCCTGAAATACCCAGCTGGTGTCCTTAGTCACTTGGCCCATCGTCTTGTTGTCTCTTAGCCCTTGAGAAGGAGTTAGCGAGCAGGAAGGACGCATGTAACTGTAGATAGAAAGTACCAGCGTAGGAAATTTTCGCCATCTTCCAAAGTATTGATAATAATAATAATATATTTCATGGAACATGGGTTACATGAATACAAACCGTTTTACAGGTTTGATCATTTTGGTAATGAGAAATGACTATTATGTACAATCTTAAGCTATACATTAGATACCGTTATTCATGGCCTATAAAAGGTGCGTTGAAGCAGGCTTAGTTCGAAATTAGGACTCATTCGGTCATTGTTTGAATCTTCGAATATTCTTGAAAGTGGAACCGCATCATAGTCATGACCTTGGGGGGTGCGCTTTCGTCATAGGGTTTTGATGGCAGGGTGCACACTGGCAAATGCAATCTCTAGGATTCCACTTGAATGCATGACTAGTTGGGTAAACCTGAAAAGTGAATAACAAAAGCGAGCAGCAGGCGAAATTCGAAACAGGAGCACAAAACTATACAGGAGCAGATAAACCATCATAAGCGCGCGCTCTTTGAATACTGACGTGTTTTTGTCTCGTTTGTATTCTACTCGGAAATAACTATATATAAACCTTCCCAATTGGATATTTCCTCTGCGAAAGTTACAGTCCCACTGGAAAAACTTTTTGCTGCGGACGTACAGCTCTCAGTCGGTCAGTACTATCACTCTCCAAACGGACAACTGTGTGGTAGGTCTTACTGCCTCGATCAACTGCTATAGCTCAGGTTGCTGCAACTGCAGTGCTACTTATCTCATTCTACCATATACCTTGGACCTGCGGGAAGCTTTGGGCATTCTTTCGTGTCGTACAACTGGGCAATCCTAGGTAAGGTTGATAACTTACTTTATCTATCATTGCTTTTCCACCTTTCGCTTGATACAACCATCTGTCTATCTCATTTATATCCCCCCTAATAACCAGTATAAATGAGTAATGATCGGGTCGTAACCAAAGCTGGTATCAGGGACATCTCAGGCAAAGCCTCGCCCCAGCCACAAACCTTCCATCAGTGGTAGTAACGAGGACCAGGGGCAAAAACTCAGTAACACCACAAAAGACCACCAATAGATTTTAGGAGGGCAGTTGCAACAACCACCTCATGGGAAAAGTCGAATTCTTATCCCTGTGAACCCTAGTGCTGTGGTTCATCAATGGGCATGTCTTTCTGGTACCACCAGCCCAAACTCAAGTCTACCTGTGAAGGCTACCACTGAGAAACGGAAGAGAAGGAAAAGAAAGTCGTTAACTAAACCTTCTAGTCAGGCTGACGACTGTCATACATGTGGTCTCACCGTAGCCAAGAGGGATGCTGCCTTTGAGTGTAACATCTGCAATAAGTGGGTGTACAGTCAGTGTGATGAGGACATACCAGACCACTGTAACACCTTCATGGCGCGCCACCCATGCGTGTGGTCCTGGTACATCTGCCCACAGTGCCGTAAAGGCCACTCTTTTATAAAGGCTAGCTGATGGAGGTTGTGAAAGACATGGCAGTGACTACTGTGATGCCGGCCCCCATACAGACCACAACCCCAGGCCCAAGCAGCAAGAGTTTCAGCACTGGACCCTTGCCGGTCACGCCAGTGAATAGTTCAAAAAGATCAAAACGACGACAGGGTGCGTGACCAACTGCGTTAGTCCCTAACCCTGAAGCCACTTTGGCGGCTAACCCCACTGTACAATGGGAAAAATGGGTGACAGTGGAAAAGAAAGTTCGCCCTTTTCACAAGAAACCACCCGCAGTACACGAAAATAGAGAAGCTGATGACAGGTAGAACTCCATCACCTTATTTATCGTCCTTGTGTGCCATGATAGTCTCCTTGAGAACAGAGAATTGTTTGACAAGCAGCAATGGCAAACCGTATGCACCACACTGGGTAGCCTGGAAGCAAAACTATGCAGGCTCTACAAAGGCAACTACCCACCTCAGGGAAAGCCTCCGCCGATGAGAGTTATCCTGAGCTCGGCTAAAGAAGCGGAAAGATTCTTGCTAATGTCATACACACTAGTCATCAACAGGTCATCCAGCATTAGAGCCAGACCAGATCGCCCTTGGTCAGCAAGAAAATTATCTCGCGAGGCGTCCCAAACGCTGAAACCAACAACTATGGTTGTCCACGACATACCGGAATTGACAACCGGCACAGTCGTAGAAAAGCACGCTGACGACGTCCAGCAATGGCGGTGGTTGTCGCGAGGATGGGGTTAAATGGGATAGCGGCGGCGGCGGTCTGCAGACTGCCATGTCCCTCACATTTGACGACGGTAACAGCACCCCAGTTGATGGCTGTTAAATTCAGCTATCAACAACTTTTAACCAGTGTACTGCAAACCTGGTACACAGTAAAAGATAACATCAGTGGGAATGTTCGCTGCTGTGGAAGCAGGCCCGAGACACTGCGACAACAGCAAATGGCAACACCGCCCACCGCTGAAGTCGCCATCACTGCCAACAGACAAGATGCACAATCAAGCCTGGACTCTATGAAACCCCCAGAAACCATAGTGGGGAAAAACGTGATTGGGCCGATTCCACTAGAGCTGGCCGTCCCATAGCGAGTAAGATGGGGGAATTACGACTTCTCTGTTCCTACCTTGCTCCAACGATCATAATCCTGACAGAAACTTGGTTATCATCGGACATTAGCGACATCGAAACTAGTAAAGATGGTATGCGTCTGTCGAGGAGAGACAGAGTTTAAGGAAGGAGCCGTAGTGGTGATGCTTATAAGTGATAACCTTAAAAGTGAACGAGCGACTGAAACTCTACTTTCAGGGCTCCCAGACTTCATCTGGCATCAGTTTAAGATTGGACACACCAAGTACCTGGTAGGAGGCATCTACAGAACACCTAGCAGCAACGTGGAAGATAATCAACAACTGCTGCAAGTAATTTCTCGAGCGACGTCCATAGGATATGACCAGGTCATTATAGCCGGCGACTTTGATGCTCCGACTCTCAACCTTGGGCAGGATAAGGGAACCTCAAGCCGAAGGTTCGACCGAAACCCACTCAACACTATCAAAAAGGCTGGGTTGCACGAGAATATTGGTAATGACACTCGCTGGTGGTCGGACGGAAAGCCATCCAAACTGAACCACCTTTTTACCAGTGACTCACTGCTAGTAGAAAATGCACAGGTTCAAACCCCCATTGGCAGCAGCGATCACGACGTGGTGGTGTTCGATCTGGTGCTCAACGAACAACTGTCGTGGAAGGGATCTCTCTCCTGTCTTTGCTACAGTGGGGCGAACTACGAGGTGATGAACCGATACCTGTCGATAACACCATGGCCCCAGGAGTGGAGCAAACTGTTGATTGACCAACGTTGGGAACTAGTCAGAGATATCACCAAGAGGGCTGTCTCTGAAAGAGCCCCAGTAATCACGGCAACACCATGGAAGCGAACCTCATGGCTGAAGTGAGGCACTGAAAGCCTCTCGAAAGCCAAGAGGAAAGCGTGGCACGAGTGGAGGACCTCCAGAAGAGGGTCTGACCACACCGTGTACATTGCTCTAAGAAACCGGTGTAACATCACAGTGAGAAGAGACAGGAGGTCATTCCAGAGGAACCTTGCCCAAAAGCTGGAGGCAA